CCCCCGCGTCCCCCGCGTAATCTACGCCCCTGGACCCACATTTTTTCCCACTGTAAAATATTTGGTAAATACTTTTGTTTATTCTCTTAACATAGTGACTATTTTTATGCTACTTGGCCCAGGTCTAATAAAAGTCTGATATGTGTATGTGAACTCTATTAACTTTTCTGTTTATGAAATGTTTTGTCTGATGCAGAACATCTAAAAAATATTGATACACACTGATCATTTAAATACTCCCTACAAATGGAGTTAATAATTCTGATCTTAATGATTAGACATGTTTCTGTTTCTATAAACCTGCGGGCTACAAGTTAAATGCAACTGGAGATCAACAATTTGCATTTTTCTGTTTCTTTTTCTCCCAGGCTCCAACATCTGTACTTCTCAAGGAGCCAGCACATGTCAGCAGTGCCTGGCAGTGCATCCTACCTGTGCCTGGTGTTTTCAAGAGGTGTGGTGATCTGCAATGTTTAATGACTGAGCTGAAACATGTTTACTTTAGATTTTATTATAGGATGGAGTGGAGAGCTGTATGATCAATAGAAAAATCAGACTAATCTTAGTTAGTAGTACTGTGTGTGTGTGTGTGTGTGTGTGTGTATCCGTTTAGGTAGCTTTTGAGGACACAAGTTTGTATAATGACATGGGTATGACATACTGTAGGTATTACAATGTGAAGGTGGTTTATGAGGACACGAAATTATGTTTTTTTTTAATCTAAAGATGCAGAAAGTTTTCTGTGAGGGGTAGGTTTAGGGGTAAGGTTGGTAGGGGGACAGAAAATACAGTTTGTACAGTATAAAAGCCATTACGCCTGTGGAGAGTCCCCGTAAACCACAAATACCAGCATGTGTGTGTGTGTGTTAGTAAAAATATTTTTTAATAAGGGGTATACTCCAGTGCTCAGATCATGACTCAGTGAAGATTAAATAGGCTTAATAACACTGAAGTAGACTGACTCATCTTTGGGTCAAGGAGTTGTTTTGTCTTCTGATAAAATATAATTTTGCAACTTTGAAGCAATTACAACAATCCTCCACATGGTCCACATCATCCACCAGAGTAGTCAGTGATATTTTTAAAGACGCAATGAAACTGTGAAACTGAAGTAGCGACAGATCTTCTCTTCCTTATTGTTAAGTACATCTATCTATCCATCAGTTTTTGATTGGATGGAGGCAGATCTGAATGTGAGCTAGCAACTGGTTGTAAGAAAGAGATTTCACAGAAAAATGAGTTATGACATTTAAAAAACAAAAATCAGAGCTCACAATAACTTATTGTTAATAAATAATTAAAAATTTAAAAAAGAAACATGAATGGATCAATCATTCACAAAAACAATCAATAACATGCTTTTTTCTTTCAAAAAAAGCAAATGTTTTATGGAAACGATATATAAAATGTTTTCAATGCCAGTATTTGAGCATTACAACCATTGTATCTTTATTAAGAGGAAAAATGGAATGGATAGCAAGTCTTTCTTTGTTTTTGCCTGTATTGTTATTCTAAAATGCATGTACTTATCTCATAAATGTGTGAGTCATGTATTATAACTTTTTGATATTCAGGAAGTAAAATAAGAACTGTGCTGTGATGAAAAATCCAGCAATTGTTTTTTCTGAGTGACGTCTCAATACAAAAAAATATATATAGATAGATATATATACTGTATATATATTATCTAAACATTTGGGGTTCAAGACTACTTATTTGTTCGACCAATGGCAAATGAGGGGAGTGTTTGAAACTTATTTTTGTAATTCTGTTTGCTGCAGAGATCTTTATTTAGTGCCCTATACCAGTATAACTGTCTGCCAAATGCTTATCAGGATTTTGGACAAGATGTAGCTGGTTCCTCCCGATGTGACCTGAAGAAGAACCTCATAGAGGCAGGATGCAGGAAAGAAGCTCTGGAGTATCCCACCAGCAAAATGCATGTGACAGAGAACAAAGATCTCAGTGACAAGGCCTCGGGATCCACCACCGACGTCACCCAAATCCAACCTCAAAGCATGCACATCTCTCTGAGACCCGGTGAGTTCATCAACCCATAAACATAAAAAGTAACCACATGTTCCTCCATTAGACCAAATTGTTTCTCTGGTGTCCCACAGATGATTCCCAGGTCTTCACACTGAAAGTCCGTCAGGTTGAGGACTACCCTGTGGACTTGTATTATCTGATGGACTTGTCCTATTCCATGAATGACGACCTGTCTCAGCTGCGACGTCTGGGGCGAGGCCTGGCTGAAGAGATGAGTAAAACCACCAGCAATCTACGCATGGGCTTTGGGGCTTTTGTGGATAAACCTGTGTCCCCGTACATGTACATCTCACCTCAAGATGCCATGTTAAATCCCTGTTACTCGTGAGTGATGACATATATTTACACGCTGAACATAAACATTACAGATGATGGGTGTTTATTACAAAGTTGTAACTGGGCGGTGTGCTTGTTGGCTGACAGAATCTGATATTACATCTTTAAACACAAGGCTATTATGGTTGAAGTGTCTCCATTTGCTGAGTTACATACACAATAAGTGTTATCCTGTAAGCTGTTTTCTAAATCTTGAATGTTGAGACTCATTTGTGCCATCAAAGGTGAATAACCAACACTACCCATCAGGTTTGGCAGAGTTACACAGTAATAGTAGTAGCCCATTTCTACTGTATATTGTAACTTCCTGAACTTTCTCACTGTTAATGTTATTTTCTGACCCTTCTACATCTTACTACATTATCTACCATAGGATCCCATACAAATGCCAGCCTCAGTTTGGCCATAGACACGTTCTGTCTCTGACGGAGTAGGTCAGCCGCTTTACAGAGGAAGTGAAGAAACAGAAGGTGTCTTGGAACAGGGACGCCCCAGAGGGAGGCTTTGACGCCATTATACAGGCAGCTGTGTGCAAGGTTGAACTCTCTAAACAAGCAAAAAGAAATACAGAGAACTTTACAATACTTTCCTAAGTAGCTTTTTGTTATTTTTG